ATGGATTATTCCTCTAGGAGTATTGTTAACGTTGTGACAGATGATGTTGCTTTGCATCTGGCTGTGTCATGTGTATTGTCCTCCAGTCCTTCTAAGGATGAGGGAGAATGTGGACAGATGTCAGACCTGAAGTATTGTTCTTCCTACACAGGTTTGACTTACAGACACTACCTGTAGACTTTGTGGAGTGCCTGATGCGCTTCCTGCCCACAGAGGCTGAGGTGAAGCTGCTGCGGCAGTATGAGCGTGAACGGCAGCCCCTGGAGGAGCTAGCAGCTGAGGACCGCTTCATGCTTCTCTTTAGCAAGGTGGAACGGCTGACGCAGAGAATGGCTGGCATGGCCTTTTTGGGCAACTTCCAGGACAACCTGCAGATGCTCACACCGGTACAGCCTCTTCCCTAATCACTATCCACTGCTGTCACTAGTCATGTCTGCTGTCTATCCTTCTGGCCCTGCCCCTTGACTTTATCATTCTCCCAACCTGGGTGACTCGGTGTTCATCTTGTCTTACAGCAACTGAATGCCATCATTGCAGCCTCTGCCTCTGTCAAGTCCTCACAGAAACTGAAGCAGATGTTGGAGGTTGGGAAAGGGAGTGACTGGGGTACTGGTGGTTCCCAGGTCCTGGGTGGGTCCTAGTACTACTATGCAGAGGACAAAGTCCTTGGAGCTTCTGGTGACCTTCCTTCATGCGTTTTATGAACAGATCATACTTGCATTGGGGAACTACATGAACAGCAGCAAGCGAGGCGCCGTGTATGGCTTCAAGCTCCAGAGCCTGGATCTGGTAAGGTGGCAGGGACAGCATTTGCAGGACAGCATTCACCAGTGTTAGAGCCAGGGTGCTTAGCTCTGTGTTGCCTCCACTGCCTTTCAGCTGCTGGACACAAAGTCCACTGACAGGAAAATGACACTGCTGCACTTCATCGCCTTGACAGTGAAGGAGAAATACCCAGACCTGGCTACCTTCTGGCATGAGCTACACTTTGTGGAGAAGGCTGCAGCAGGTGAGGGGCTCCCTGCCTCCCGCTCAGGACAATCTCAGGAAGCTGGGCAAGAGGAACACCTGGGCCCATTTCTGGCTTTTGTAATCTTTTTTGCTACTTCAAAGCTTTCTGCTAAGGTCCTGAGCAGGGGCCACTCCAGAGGAAGCCTTCCTGAGCTCAAGTGAGATCAGGCTTCCCTTAGGCTGGCCCAGAGATTGCATTTCTCTACCACTTATGTGATATGGTTAGAAAACTTACAAAGCCCCCTACACACATACAGTTTCTGTCCTGCCTATGAAAAACTACACCAGGCCGAAGGAGCTTGGAGACCAGCAGTCTCAGTGGCTTGCCATCTTTTGCTACCTTGTTCTTTGGGGGTCATGAACTCTGGCCCTCCATTCCTTCCCACTGCCCAGAACTTATTCTGCTTGGCATGGGCTTCTCTATGTGTGTGTCATTGAGAGTCTATGCCATGGGGAGGATACATATAGTCCTGAGCAAGCCTCAGCCAGACCTCTCGGTAAATAGTGTCCCTGGAGAACGTGCTGCTAGATGTGAAAGAGTTGGGCCGGGGCATGGAGCTGATTCGGCGAGAATGCAGCATTCATGACAACAGCGTCCTTCGAAACTTCCTTAGCACCAATGAAGGCAAACTGGACAAGCTCCAGCGAGATGCCAAGACTGCTGAGGTGAGCAAGGAACTGGAAGTAGAAAACAAACATCCAGAACAGCAGTCTCAACCTATGGGTTGCAACCCCTTTGGGGGAATCGAATGACTGTTTCACACAGGGGTCATATGTCAGATATTTACATTATGATTCATTAGCAAAATTAGTTATGATGTAGCAATGAAAATAATTTTATGGTTGAAGGTCACCACAGCATGAGGAACTGTATTAAAGGGTCGTAGCATCAGGAAGGTTGAGGACCACTGGACTAGATAGAGCCAAGACACTAGGCCACTTTGTGTCAGCATCCAACTGCAGTTCTTACATCATGCAGTTGGCCAGCTATTAGGGAGCATGATGTGGGAATAAGGAAGGACTTCAAAGATAGCAGACATCCATGTCTGGAGTTATGACTCTGGGGAACCTTGGGGACGCCCCACATTCCTCTCTTGTTCAGGGGGCTTGGGTAGTTGCTTTTGGTGGGCTTTGTGTCCATGTGGGAGTGCTGGGTGTCTACCCATCAGGGTGACCTTTCTGTCTGTCCCTTTCTTACCCAGGAGGCCTACAATGCAGTTGTGCGCTATTTTGGCGAGAGTCCCAAGACCACACCTCCTTCTGTGTTTTTCCCAGTATTTGTCAGATTCATTCGTTCTTACAAGGTAAGATGAAGAGTTTCTAGAGGAGTTTGGCTAAGAGAAAATGATTAGTCAAGAGACTTTTCTGTTCCTGAGGTCTAAAAGGAACCATGGAAGCTGGCGACAGGCCTCTTAACTGTGAACTGGTGGGCAGGGTGGGGCCCAACCCCTTCCTTTCATTGTTTGGAGCAGGAAGTACCCCTTCAGAGGGTGGCCACCTGGGGTTAGCTGGTCTTACAGCCACCCACTCTCCATGCTCAGTGTCAGCCCCTCCTCTCCCAGCCTGTGAGAGCCTCTCACTCCTCCTCTCTTGGTTCTCTCTAAGGAAGCAGAACAAGAGAATGAAGCTCGCAAGAAACAAGAGGAGGTCATGCGGGAGAAGCAGCTGGCTCAGGAAGCCAAGAAGCTGGATGCCAAGGTGGGTGGGACCGATAGCTGGTCTGGAGAGCAGGACAAAAAACTGAGGATTCAGACAGCAGGGATCCAGAAAGGACATGCATGCCCCCTCCCTTGGAGTGCCCAAAGGCAAGAGTCCAGAGGGAGGGTCAGATACAGATGGATAGGACACAGGGTTTCTCTCAGTAGGGCCATCTTCAGACTACATCTTGGGACAGGAACCAGTTGCTTATCAAGTTAGTGATGACTTCCTTCCCCTAATAATATTTGGCCCTAGACTCCATCCCAGCGGAACAAATGGCAACAGCAGGAGCTAATTGCAGAGTTGAGGAGGCGCCAAGCTAAGGAACACCGGCCTGTTTATGAGGGCAAGGATGGTACCATTGAGGACATCATCACAGGTGGGACCTTTGTCCATTGGGCCCAATTCCCAAAGCCTGAGCCAACCACTCTTTGGTCCTTCTTCCTAGTCTGTTTCCCCATAAAACCTGACCATGATCTCTCCTGGGCTGTAGTGTTGAAGAGTGTCCCTTTCACGGCCCGTACTGCCAAGCGGGGCTCACGCTTCTTCTGTGATGCAGCCCACCACGATGAGTCAAACTGTTAGCCCTCAAGGCTGGGGCCCCTGACAGGTACTGGGCACTGTGGCTGCACTCTCTGCATGCCTTAGAATCATCTGGTAGCAGCTTGCCATGAATGGAGACAGACTTCTTGCATGCTGCATGCTCCAAGAAACAGTTGATCCCTTGCATGTTTCCTCCCACTAATTCTGTCCTAGCATGCAGGCATACATGCAGGCAGAGCACTGTATATATAATAAATTAACAACAACAACAACAAAAAACCCAGCTCCAGCAGTTTCTCCAGCTGGTCCTCCCTGATCCTACTTACTCCCTGCCCTCCTGAAGCTTCTGTCCTGCTCAGTCTCCCTGCCTGTTCACATGCATCTGTCTTCCCCACAGGCTTCAACCACCGGCCCATGGTCACCTGCAACCAAGCCAGGAGCGCTCTACCACCCAGCGGCCCTCCTCGGGCTCCAGGTCCCCACTGAGATCCTCTTGGAGGCAGAAGTACTTTAATTCTCAAGAGTCCTGCAAGTCTGGACAGTGGATCCAGGGCCCAGCAGAAAGCTGTGTTGTTCCAGCTGTAGCCACTTGGGCTCTGAGGCTGGATCTTCCCTGTGCCACTGTGGGCATTAGATCTAGGGGTGTGGCACTTCTCTAGTGCTTCCCATAATGCACCTTGTCCCCCCCAGTCTTCAACTTCATTCAGGGCCAGGGAAAACCACTTCCAGCTTTGGCTCATGGGGGCAGATGGCCTCTCTTCTACTAGGGTCTAGTGGGATGAAAAAAGAGAATGCTGTACTCTTTTTAATTTTTTCTTTTTGGGGCGAAATATGCAGGCTTATAGACCCCTGGACCCTGCCAATCAGAGTAAAGCCCTTCTTTACCTGGGCCCACTCTGCTGAGCTCTAGTAAGGGGAGAGGAGCAATGCCAGACCCACTGCCTTCTTGCACATTCTACCTGAGACTTCAGTTTTTCGTCCTGCCCTCCAGACCCTTGGTCCCACCCGCCTTGGCTTCTAGCTTCTTGGCTTCCTGAGCCAGCTGCTTCTCCTGCATGACCTCTTGCTTGCAGGAGCTTCTTGCTCCACTTGGTTGTGGGGGAAGACTTGAGGCTTTCAAAGGTGGGAAGGGAGGAGCTAACACTGAACATGGAGAGTGTGGCAGTGGGACCAGCTAACCCCAGGTGGCTACCCTCTGGAGGGATACTTCCTGCTCCAAACAATGAAAGGAAGGGGCTGGGCCCCCACCCTGCCCACTGTCTTCCCACCGACTGAAGAGCAGAGACGGCGTCTGCACCAGCTCCAAGATTGCTGGGGGAAAAGATGTGCCAAACGTCTCACCTTTCCTCAGCTATGAGGATTCTGGCCGGGAACAGGCAACATGGAGGATCTTCATAGACTATTTGCTCAGTTCCCTACTAGGTTCTCTGACCTTAGAAGGGAATGCGAGGGCACTTTGTTTTGTACATGTACCATTTCCTTTCTCTCTTGTATATAAACCCCACACTTCTCAACAAAAGTCTTATGCACCAGGCTGTCTTCTCTTTCTTGGTTTGGATGGCTAGGGAGGCCATGAGGATATAAAGAGTGGGCAGGAGCAGTGTTTGCCTCCATCTCAGGAACGATGAGCCTAGAGGGCAAGGGAAGCCTGGCTGGGTGGGCCTCAACTACACAGGGAAAAATATGTTAGAACAATAGTGCCCTCTGCTGGTCCCCAGTGGATGACACATGAAGAGGAAGAGGACAAAGTAGTTGTAGATCATGTTATAAATATTATTTAAAAAACAAAAACAGAACACATACATCGGGTCCCAGGGGTAGAGGAAGCAATGGTGGAGCCCCAGGGCCAGGTCAGGCAAGAGCAGGCACTGATGCTAAAGGGTGAGGACCCTGCCCTCTGCCACCCAGGCTGTGTCCACCAGCCTGTCTCTTTCCCGGAAATCCCTTCTCACACTGTATCTACTGGCATCACCCACCCCATGTGATATAGACTGCCCATCTCTGGTCTGGGGCTAAGGGCAAGGACTGTACTAGTTTCTGAGAACTAGGGGACCCTTGAACACCAAGAGCAACCTTGAGAGGTGCTAACAGTAGTGTGTTGGGATGGGTTACTTTAGGGAAAGTGGACACAGACCAGACATACGAAGAAGTCTGAGGCAGATGGTGAGGATGGCCCTGGAGCCACTGCCTCACGAAGTCCCAAGGCAGGAAGTAGTTCGTGGGGTCATTGGTGGTCATCCAGCTGCTGTAGGAGTGTCCGCCTTCGTCTTTCCAGCTCCCCCTCACTCAGCTCGCTTTCCGATGTGTCCCAGCCTGTCTGTTGAGCAAAGGTGTGGCTTACCTGAGCCCCCTGGACAGTGTGTCACAGGCTGGGGCAAAAGCCAGGTCCTTCCATTCACCTTCTCCTTTTTGATTCCAAAGCCTGGAGAGCGGTTAGGGAGCTCTGCCTGCCGGAGTTCCCTGTCTTTGTCCTGTTCTTGTTCTCTGTCTTCACTCTCCTTGCCAGCTTTTTCTTCAGGGTCCGTCTCACTCTCAGGACTGTTCTGTAAGAGTTCAGAGCCCATCTGAGCAACTGAGCAGCACAACTGAAAGGCAGCATAAAATGGACTCGAGGATCTGAGTTCTCTACTCACCGACTTGTGTCTTCTCTTCTTAGTTTTCTTTTTTGGTTTCTTGGCTTTCCGAAGACCATGATCTATAGAGTTTAAAAAAATAAAATAGCCGGGCATTAGTGGCGCACACCTTTAATCCCAGCACTGGAGAGGCAGAGGCAGGCGGATCTCTGTGAATTTGAGGCCAGCCTGGTCTACAGAGAGAGTGCCAGGATAGGCTCCAAAGCTACACAGAGAAACCCTTTCTCAAAAAACCAAAAAAAATTAAATAAAAATAAACTAAATAAATAAAAAATCTCAGTGCTAAGTCCCATTGTGGGAGAGAAAGGGCTTGTCCTCTTCCCTGTTGTACATTCTGAGTAGATGCTGGCTCCTGCTCTGAGGAAGGCTGAATTTGGCTTCCCTCCATCCAGCTTGGGCAGGGATGGGAAATCTTGCTCCCTAGCTAGGCGCTCCCATCCTTGTCACCCCTCAAGGGGTCTGGCATCTAATGTGCCTCTACTTAGTTAGGACCACAGAACTCCAGTTCCCAGGCTACTACAAACTGCTTACCCGACCCAAGGAGAAGGTGGGAGGATGGGGAGCCTGGTCCTCCAAGGGCAGCACCCCCACTTTCAACTGAATCAAGTGAGGATGAGGGCTCAGAGCCAGACTCTGAGGGGTTCCGCCTCCTCCGCTTGGGGGGCCGGAGGGATGGTGGGGGCAGTTCCTCTTCATCTGACTCAGAGCCCTGGACAGACAAGAGACACAGGTCAGTCCAGAGTTCTGTCCTCCAGGAGCCCTCACTTGGGGACAGGGTCCAGAATCAAGAAAGGAAAACAGTCCAGCCTCACCCACATCCCTCTACCTGCTGACTCACTGAGGGTGAGTGAGACCGCTTGCGATGGTGTTTCTTGCCTTTTCTGCCATGCTTTCGGCCTTTGGTGTGGAGGTGCTGGCATTCAGTCTGCTAAAGGCAGAGGAAGAGGTAAGGACCTGTCTCAGCAGGGGCTTTCTGCCTTTTCTAGGATCCACTCAGTTCCCCTTCCTTGGCTGGCCAGGAACATACCTCCAGCACCTGCAGGAACTCTCGGAAGAGCCGGATCCGCTCCGACTCCAGGGTGATCTGCTCAAAGGCTGAGTCGCACACAAAGCGCTCACGGACCTTGAACGGGGAGAGCACTGCTGATCAGACCAGGCCCTGCCTGGCCCAGCTTGGACACGCCACGAGCACTGGGCAGGGCTGGGGCAGAGGAAGGAAGGGAACTGGAGCTGGCCCAGGGCTTGTGCTGTGACTGGGGTGGGCCCTCAGTGGTGGAGAAGCTCCGCTGCCCTCAGGCTTGAGGGTGACTGGGGCCAGGCTGTGCTCCTGACCTCTTCCCAGGCAGTGCCCAGCTCCAGAGCAGGCACGGCCTGCCTCAGCATGCTTCGAAAGGCAGCTTCTCTGCGCCGCATCCTTCGTGCCTCCTCCTTTTCTCGCTCCCTCTCCCGTGCCTCCGCTTTCTCCAGCAGCTGAGGACCAAGGGAAACAGAACTGGGTCAGGTATACCTTAAGAGGTACGAAGGTGGGGTCTGGACTCCTGCCATCATTCCCCAAACCCAAGATAATCGGCAGGGTAGTGAGAAGAAACAAGACACTGGGATAAGTGAGAGAACCGCCCAGCCCTGCCCAGCCCCTCACACTATTGAAGGTCAGCTTGATGTTGCCTGCGTCCAGCGCAGCAGCCCTCTTGTCAAAGCTTATGACGTGGGCGAAGTCCTCGAAGGCTGTGTTCACCTCCACACAGAAGCCCCGGTCCTGTGGGCACAGCAGTGCGTGAAGGCCAGGGGCACCACAGGCCCAAGACCCAAGGCCAATAGGCAAAGGATCAGGCTGTAAGGCAGTCAAGCCTCTGCCCTCACCTAGGACACACCTTAGAAACCATGCTAAGTCTTCATTTCACACCCCCTCCCCTTCCGACCTGTGTGGGTTCATATGGAGCCAAGGAAGTCAGGAAGTTTCTTCACAGTCTTGATTGATGACTGAGTTTTTCACAATTACATCTTTGTTCCTCTGGCCACAGCTGGGCCTTCCTGCTGCTAATTGGAAGCTGCCATGCATTCTTAACATCTGGCCTATCCCTTCTGCTTCTTGTACTGAGTGCTTGACACATTTCTCCTTTAATCCTCCCTGTTCTGTTAGGTGCGTCTCATTTTATGCAGACAAGAAAAATGAAAGCACTTGCTCTATTATATCCCAGGTCTAACCCCCAAATCTGTGCTTTTAAGCACTACACCCACCCTGACTGCACAGTTCCTGGAAGAGATGTTGGCCATCGAGTGGAGAACTCTAGCAATTCTAAAAACATGCCCATTGTCTTAAGTATATGGCCAAGCTCTATATTTTTCATCAAAAAGCCTCCATGTCTCAATGAAGTTGAGATGAAGGAGAGTGACCTCACTTGGCCAAGCTGATATGAGGTAAATGGAATTCTGTGTCACAGGCCAGCTTTCCTGTCCTTCCACACGGCCAGCTTCCTCCGGTCTTCCCTCTTGCTGATGCCAGGAGTATACTTGCTTTCCCCAAGAGTCCTTTCTCAGTCAAGGCTCCAGCCCTTCCAAACACATCCTTCTTTCTGTGTGAGTGAGGCTTGGTCTACTCCCTTTGAGACTGTGGGTCTCGCTGAAACTGAAGCTCTCCATTTTGGCTAAACTATCAAGTTAAGATCATGTCTCAGCCCTGCTTCAGTGTTGGGGTTGCAAACATACCCAGACTTTATATGGGTGTTGAGGATTCAAACTCCAGTCTTTATGCTCCCTAGCACAGTTCCTCCTTATGGAAGGCTTGACTACACCCTCTTTACTGTCCTCCCAAGGAACACACAGCTCCCTGTACTTAGAATAGCCCTCCATCCTGCTTTTAGCTTCTCAAGCTAGCTGTTTCTTTTCCTCACTTTCAATTCCTTGGACACAGAACAGGGGAAAGGAATAGACATTTATCAAGAGCCCATTATAAGCAAGACACTTGACAAATGTCTTTTTAAAATGTTACTTAATTCTTACCATGTGGTATGTAGATTATCCCCAATCTATAGAGGATGAAACTGAGGCTCAAAAGCACTAGATAAACTTGTGGAGGTTTCAGGCCAATAAATAGCCAAAAGTTACTTTACTGTGAAATGCATGCAGTACTCTCCTCTCCAGGACTCTTGTATCTTGACCTTTTTTGTCACTTCCCTTGTGTGGACACATGTCCCTGAGAAATGCCCTTACACTATTTTTATTATTAGTTTTTGGTTTTTGAGACAGGGTTTCACTGTGCATCCCTGACTGTCCTGGAACTCACTCTGTAGACCAGGCTGGCCTCAAACTCACAGAGATTCACCTGCCTTTGCCTGCCAAGGGCTGGGATTAAAGGCGTGAGCCACCACTGCCTGGCCTTTTTTTTTTTTTTTTTTAAACTTATCTGATCTACATTTTCCCAGCAATTTCACCCTTCATCTGTTGACTTTCAGACCCTAACCCATACCAGCCTGGCTATTTTAATGTACCACTCCCAATCGTTAATCTTCCAGCCCAGATCACCAGTCTCCTATCGGTTCCAAGTTCAGGGCCCTACACTGGTCCCAGGAGACGAAAGGCGCCCCTATAGTCCATGGCCACAGGACCTCCAAAGATCACCTGGCTGCCTAACCTGGGAGACCAAATGAAGGAGTAGAAAGTGGAACTTCCCAGAATGACTGCTTTCTCAGGCAGCGTAGACAGGAGCCCAGCAGGCCTTTCTTCCAGTTACTTTGGCTAAATGTTAACTATCTAGTAAAATTTAGCCATCTTAAGATAGGTATTTGGGCTAGAGAGATAGCTCAGCCATTAAGAACACTGGCTGCTCTTCCAGAGGTCCTGAGTTCAATTCCCAGCAACCACATGGTGGTTCATGACCATCTGTAATGAGATTTGGTGCCCTCTTCTGGCATATATGCATAAATAATTTTTAAAAATCTTAAAAAATAGGTATTTATAATTTACAAGATCAGCCTGTAAAAGATATTTTACTCTTTTTTTTTTTTTTTTTTTTTTTTTTTTTTTTTTTTGAGATGGGTAAGGTTTCTCTGTGAAGCTCTCTCTGGCTGTCCAAGAACTCACTTCTTTGTAGAACAGGCTGGCCTCAAACTTACAGAGATCCACCCTGCAGCCAATCCTTTCTGCTCAACTCTCAGTCCTCAATGCTTAACAACAGTGCTGCCATTTATCGCCTGCCCTGAACCTTTCCATCCTTCCCTTAACTTCACAAAATAATCGGCAATTCTACCTTAGTGGTTCTAGCCCATTGAGTTAAGTTTTTGATTTTTTTTTTCTGAAAAGAAAACGTGATTTTTAAATATCCCCATCTTATCTATTTATAAATGTCAAAGTTCTTGGCCAGACTTGAGAGCACTTTTAAACAAGTCCTTGGCAATTTCTAAATTGTTCTTAGTGACCTTGATAACCCTTTGATCAAGACTGAGGTCAGAGGAGCATATAAATAAGTCACCTTTAACTTTCACATTTTTAAAACATTTATTCTGTATGAATATATGTGGGCACCCATATACCATGGCATATGTGAAAATGATTCTCTTCTACCAATTGGGATTTCTGAGATCCACCCTCTACACACTAAGGCATCTCACCAGCCCAACTTTTTTTGTTTTTTTTTATTCCCAAGACCGGGTTTCTCTCTGTGTGTAGCCCTGGCTGTCCTGGAACTCACTCTAGAACAAGCTTGCCTCAAATTCAGAGATTACCTATCCGCCTTCCAAGTGCTGGAATTAAAAGCATCCGCCACCACATCCAGCCCAACTTTCACTTTTTTAACAAATATTTTTTAATAAAAATCTTCTATAGCACCTCAATGCACAAGAGGTAAGAGCTTTTCTGCTAAGATACACCTCCAAACTGGGCCTTAGCACATGTTTATGTGAGAAAACCTATGGCATCTTGTCTCTTCATCTGCCACCTCAACTCTGAATAGCTGCCTGACTAGCGAGTGAGCCTTCCCACTCCCCCAACAGTCTCTGGCATTGTCATGTGGTTCTCCAACTTTCGCATCACAGAGCACTGATAACAGCAGAGTACTGTGATCCAGTCCAGGGACAAGGTGAGCTAAAACATGTAGCTCAAGTACCTGTCATCACTTCTAAGATCTTGAGACTTGAGGGGCTGAACTCCTGCCTCTTCTCTACCACTTCCCCTAACAATACAAACTGACTGGGAAGTACTTCACACCACCATCCGAGCTATCACTTACAATATAAAATCTAAGCCTCTTTGTTAGCATCCAAAGCCTTTTGCAAAGATCTAGTGGGCATGTAGTTCCAGAGAAATAGAAAAGCCCAGGACAACATGATGCATCTCACTTAAGAGTAATTTTGAAACAAACTCTTGGGGATTTTTTTCAGGTCTTTAGAGATAGGATCTGTTGTGTAGCCCAGGCTGACCTGCAACTCACCATCCTCCTCCCTTGACTTCCAAGCACTGGAGTTAAAGGGGTGAGCCATTACACTGGTTTATTAAGTCCATATTAAACAGATGACTGTATTACAATGCAACATCCATTGTAAGGTGATCTACCTAACAGTACCCCATGTCCCTCTCAACCTAGACACCAAGTTGCTATCTTCAGTAATTGGGTGTCCCTTGGTGGAACACTCACCATTTTTGAGACAAGGAAACTAATGCTTAGAAAAGGTGATACAACACATAAGGGCTTATCTGGACTTTTACCCCAAGTTCTGCTGCTAGTCACTGTATTGGATTGCATCTTCAAATACATAGTATTGATTAGAATATTAGAATAGAATTTACTTTTAGAATGTATGAATTATTATTAGAATACTAGAAGAATTACATATTAGAATACTATTTACTCCCATAAAGAAATACATTTCCCTTCAGTTGCTTACTCACATTTGTAACTTTGACAGACCCAGACAATTATTTCTCCAGTAAAGAAAACGACAGGGCACATGGGCTAGATGTGCAGCTGACACTTGCCTGAGCTTAAGAAGGCAGTAAAGAGTAGTGAGGAAAAGAACACCTCATCCTCTTCCTCTTTCTAAGAGGGCAGAGGCATCTCAGCCAGTGTCCATGGCATGCCTTGAAGAACGAGCCCAGTGTTGACAGATCATCCAAACTGGCAAGAGACACTGAAGATCCAGATTTTTATGTGAAGCCAGGCATAGTGGTGCACACCTATAATTCAATTCCAGCATGTGGGAAGTGAAAGGGGATTGGGAATTCAAGGCCAGCCTGGGATACGTAAGACCTTGTCTCAAAAACCAAAACAAGACATATTTTTGTGAAATCTCCTGATTTCAAAACATTAGCAATAAATTCCAAATTCTTCAAAACACCCTACAGGCTGGAAGGAGCATAGCTGTGGGGGTATGCGTTTACAATTAGCTGTGCTTGCTTCTCAGGCCTATGCCTTTGCTCCTGTAGCACCCCTATGCTTACAATATTCCACCTCTTCCACCCACTCATTCCTGAAGGTGGATTACTGTCAAATCTTCTGATTCCTGTCTCTGTAGTAACAGTTGCCCCTGGCTAACAGTTCTCATGTTTGTTTTAGATCATGAGCATCTAAGAGGAGAAAATGACTTTTTTGCTTTTTTTATTTTTCTGACACCAGGTTTCAACCTAGCTAGTACTCATTTTATTTCTCAGACTGGCTTTGAACTAGTGGCAGTCCTCCTGCCTCAGCTTCCCAGGTGCTGGGGATACTAGTATGCATGGCTACATCTAGCTGGAAAAATGTGTCTATTTGTATCCTCAGTGCAAGCTGTCCTGTTCTTGAAAAGCATGACTCAGGGTATTCTGGTCTAGAGAGTGGCTTACACCCAGTCTGTGTCCCTCACCTTAAGAATGTCCTTTATGATCTTCTTCTCATCATGGAACCTTGCCTTCAATTCCTCCACATAGAACTTGAATAAGTCCAGAGGAGTAGAGCCTGCAGAAAGGGAGAGATGGGGGCCTGGCGGGCGGCAGCTTCCCAAGGCCCAGGGTGGGGTCAAGGACAGGCCCAGGGAGTGGGGTGCAGAGAGGCTGGCAGGTAGGAAGCCAGACCAGACAAGGGGAAGCCTGGCTGCCTTACCCGGCTGGCCCAGCATGTTGGCAAAGCGGACATCAGTGCTGACTGCTGGGTACAGCTCCATCCAGGTGGACATGGAATGCAGCTGCCCTGTCTCATGCAACTCGTCCAGGAAGGTCTGAACAAGGAAAGGCCAGTGATAGGAGAATGAGAGAGGGAGAGAAGCATGGCCAGGGACTAGGGAGGAAGGAAGGGAATGGCAGAGTTGGACAAGCAGAACAGTTTAGGCAAAGGAGGCAGAGATGAGGAGACACAGGGAAAGGTACTACAAAAGGAGGAAAACATGAATATACAAACAGAATAAGCCATTCTGGAGGCAATAAAGCAGAAACCTGCAGGCAGCACAATTTTCTGACTTGGCTTCAATTTCCTATGACCAGCTTATTAGTCAACCTACTAAAACTGCTCCCAAGCTGAGGACAAATGTTCTGTCTGGCTCCCACCCAAAGGGAAAGACACTTGGTCTTGGTCTAGCTGGCACCCATGTCTGAGGGTGGTACAAACAGCTTGTCTCCCTGAAGGGGCACTACTGCAGAGTGCCTGAGGGACATGCAGGGGGACTAGTCAACAGACAACCTTATTGAGAGGAGGCACTACAGAGAGGCTGTGGTCTCTAGCAGAGCTGAGCCAAGCTCTGATCCCAAGAACAGGAAGATACCTGAAAAGCCTCCCGGTTCTTCCGCTGCTGGCGCCGTTCCCGAAGCCGGGCCCGTTCCCGCTCCTCCTCCTCCTCTCTCTCTAAAGCTCGGATGTGCTCCTCAAAGCAGATCAGTGCATCTTCTTTGTCCATGTCTACATGCAGGGAAGAAGTCTGCAGGCACTGCACCAGCGGGACAGCCCCTCAAATGGGGACAGACCCCATTTCTCAAGAGTGCTTCCCTGTGGGTGCTAGGGGCTCTCAAGGGGGTGGAGAAAAGTGAAGCAGGGCTATATGACAGCAGTCACTAGTGGTAGGGGAAGAGTATTAATTGCACTGGAAAAAAACAGCAAGTACTAAGTGATGAATTCAGCTTTTAGAAACTACCATATAAACCTAGTTATCTTAGAATCTAAGGCATCACATCTTAGGCAACTGGAAGTCATTTAGGCTTTGATACAGCTTCAGAAGGTGAATTATTATTCTGTCAGTAACCACAAGCCAACAATTCCTTACCACAGTTAAGGCTCACAACACTAAGATAGTTTAAAACCATCTCTACATGAGCTACAGATAACATCACCATCATCTGTAAGGATTTTATATTTCTATCCAAGACACACAATGTTCAGGTAAACAGTGGACTCCAGGGCTGGGGGTAGAACTCTGTAGTAAAGCATGTGCCTAACTGAGGACCTAGGTTCAATTCTCAGCACTACAAAATATAAAAGTTTAAAAAAAAAAGATAGAGGTTGTTCTAAAATATATGTAAGGGCTAAGGTACCAGTCCTGCCAAAATGTATGTAAGGGTCAGGGCACCATCCCTGACATCACACAGAGACACAACAGCAAACCAGAGGGTGACCTGAAACATCTGGACTCCAGAGTGCAAGAGAGGCAGTAACTGCCTCTAGGCTAGGGTTTCCAGAATAGGTAGGGGCAGGCTCTAAGGTCTCAGATGAGTGAGGAAGGGACAGACATCCAGGCTTACTCTGCAGCTGCTGGTCCTGAGCAAAGCTGGGGTTGTCCATGAGGTACTGCTGGGCCTGCGACCATGTGGTTTGCAAGTTGACACTGCTCATCCCATCCAGGATGCTCTTCAGGGCCTGGATATTTCGACGCCGAAGCTGCTTGGCTTGTTCCTAGAAAGCCACAGGGTGAAAATGAAACAGAGCTGGCAAAGGTAGAAAGCTAGAAAAACCCTAGGAGGACCAGACTTTTGTGTCCCAGGAAAGGGGAGGAATTCCAAGTCACAGACCAGTATCCTCCTTGCCCTCCCCGACCCAGTGCAGAAATAGGGAAGGTAAAAGTTCCACACCAGCTTCCAATTCACAAGGGACACTGGCTGAGTAGAGAAATGAATAGCCATGATGCACAGGAAATTGAGGGCTAGGAGAATCTAGTCAGTGACAATGGCCATTACCTTCTCCTTCTTAGCCAGGAAGAAGAGGACATCATCATAAACCTCTTTTCGATCCCTCTCAGGGACAACAGCCCAAACCTCCAGGTCCCCAAAGGTCTGTTCTGCCCGCCTGTGGAGCACACGGGCTGTGAGTGGGTAGAAAACAGAACCCTGCCTGCATCTGTGTGTTCTCAGGATTCCTGAGCCCCAGACCAGCCTAATACAGTTCTCTGACCGGTAACGGGTGGTGGAGGTCATGCGTTCATGCTGCTCTAGGAAATGCTGCAGGGTCTGTTTGGCCTCCTTGGCCCTCAGCCGGGCCTCTTCTTTCTCCTCCTTCTCCCGCTGTGCCTTGTAAGCATTAAATGCCTGCTTCTTCTCACTCAATTTGGGCAAGGCACTGTGTGGATAAGGTGAGGACAAGGAAGGACACAGCTTCAATTAATCTACACAGCCCATGAAGCAGGGTCTCAAGACATGGGGGAAAAGTCTCCACAACACCATGTTGGGGACCCATGCATGGGCTTAGCATACAGGTGTCCAGAATATGGGTAAGGATGAGTAGTGAGGGGAAGAAATACTGAGCCCTTTTGCTTAGATGTTCTCAAGCCTCAGACACTTGTCTTGTTAGGGCCCCTATTCCCTACAGTTCAGTTCAAGCCAATGATCATTTATTAAGCATCTCATGGCTGTACCTTTCCCTCTTCTGGAGCCACTCTAGCTTTTCCTTCTCTTGCACCCCACCCCAGCCACTTGGACCTGAATATTGAGTTGAACATCTCAGGGAGTTCCTGGCCCAGTTGCCTTCATGAACAAGGACTATCCCCTCCTGCTCAAGCCTACCTGTAACGCGGGTCAGTGACTACCATCTTCATGGCCTGTTCCCACGAAGCATTGGAAGGGACAGCCTGGAACAGAGGCATAGGTCTTAAGAGTCTGCACACCTCTACACACCCCAAGCCCTCCATGGGAGCCTATGCCAGTACCTTGTCCCTCAGCAGCTCTTTGAAGGCCTGTTTTGCCTTCTCCCGGTTGCTCCAACTGAGGCCAGATCTCTCTGGTTCTGGCCTAGCTTCCTCCTCTTCCTGTGGTAGCCGATGCTGTCCAGTAGAACTGAAGAGGAGAAGAGACTCAGCCAAGGGCCCACAATCCTTATAGTTTTCGGTGCCCTTCACTCTCAGCAATTTACTGTCCTTTTCTTGCTCCCCAGGGAGCCCTTCAGAGGTCATGCTCAGCTCTTCACATGTCCCTCCCAAGGCTCTGAAGAAAACGAGGCTGCAATGAACAAGGGTGGCTCTCACCTGCTGGGGCCCTCCTCCCGCTGCAGGAACCCCTGCTCCAGGGGCTGGGCAGCCTCCAACACATCACAATCTTCACTTCGACCTGGCTCAGGTTCCAGGAGGGCCATAGGCACTGGGATGGGACCAGGAGGTATAGGTGGAGGGTCAGGCTGTGGTTGAGGTGGCTGTGGTTGTGGCTGTAGTGTCTGTAGCTGCTGGGTCTGCTGTTTTCTGTAGGCAAGCCAAAAGGGTGATGGTGTACCAAAGCGAGGACAGGAAAGCAGGGTGGGCCAATTGCTTTAGCTTGGGAAGACTGGGTCTAAAGCAGCTGACCCCATAAAAGACTAAGACTCCTCCTTCCATAGAGGAAGGATAATGGTGAATCCACTCCCTCCCCAAAGTGCTCCAAGGAAGGAAGGTTACATGGTCAAGTTACTTACCCTGCAGACTCTTGTTTGACTAGGGCTGCAAGGAGAAGAGATAACAGTCATAGAGTAGCAAAGGACTCCCAAGTAGCCTTGCCCAGTCTTCCCCTTCTACCTCCAGGACCCCTCACCCTCCAGGTCATCCAGATCCTTGGGCCGGGTCCAACGGGACTCTTGACTCTGGTTGTTGTAGTAGTACGGCTTCCCTGTGTCTGATTTGTACTCTTTCCAGGGACACTGGGACAGCAGCAGCTGTAAAAGGATGGGTCAGAAGTCATCAACAGCTGGGCAGCCCTCCAGCCTGTCCAGGGAGCTAAGGGGACCCAGTGAATAGAGGACACAGCAGTCTTTAGTGCCACCTGGCCTTGCCTGAATGGGGCAAAATGGACTTCCTAAGACCCTAGGGAGGCAATTCCAAGGAGCATAGAGGTGGTCAGGGATCTTGGGGTCAGAGGAACTACAATGAGTATGGTTAGAGACTTAAGAAAGGCCAAGGACTTGGAAGAGTCGGAGAAAATGAAAGAGCCAGAAAGCCCCAGTTAGGACCTCTGCCTTGGACTTGAGCACGCTGGGCTTCTCCCACACGGACTGTTTGTCATCAGCGTTGTAGTAGTAGATGCGCCCATCAGGGGCCACATGCTCACTCCATAAGGCCCTCTGGGGGAGGAGCACAAGATCATCATCAGGCTCCCTTCCCAAAACCTCTCCTCACCCTGATAACTTAACCATCCGCCTCCCACTTTCTACTCAAGAGACCTAAGCTAGAAGCACTCACCGGAGGGCCTGTCCCAGCCACAGCAGCTAGAAAAGAAGCCAAAGGAAACCTACTAAGGCCTTGCTCCAAACCCCCATCTTCTCCCCACTTACTCCTCCCTTATTCCATCCCATAAATATCCCCCTGATCCCCATCAACATCCCAAAATCCCTGACATCCCAACAGGCATGATCCAGCGTGGGCTCCAGTCCATGGTCCCCTCTCCCCTGTGCCCCCCAACCTCCGAGCCTGGGGGGAGCAGGCCCCCAGAAGACTCACAGCTGGCGGTGTCCGCACCCGGAGCCGTCTGCCGAAGAAAGAGGAGGGGGAAGGGTTGGGGCCAAGCCCAGTGGCCCCCACGACCCAGGCCATGGGAGATGGAGAAGCAGGCCAGGCCAGGATCTGTGTGTCCTGTTCCCAGGGATCTCTGCCCTCTAATAGTCCTGTCCCCTCCACCCCGCCAGGGCTGTGACTCTCAGGTCCCACAGGGAGTCACACAGTAGCTGCTTTCTTCGTCTTCCACAAGTAACAGTATTCTGTTGAGTCAACTCCTGAGATCCATCTCTTCACAGTAGATGCCAAACTTCTACACCCCACTTAAGACTCCACTACACTGAGCCACAGCACAAGAAAGTGCACTGCCTCTTTTAGAGGCAAAGAGGACGTGATATGAAGAAACCTTCTTAGCATGTCTAGAATGCAGGAGTATCTGAATGAGTGATTCCTTAAGGGTGTGGCATGAGAAGTAACGAGAGATCATGAGGCCTTTGGTGATGAGTGGGAAACTAAAACTGCTGAGTGTGTGGCTGGTGAGGATTTGGATGTGAGGAATATTGCCAGGGACCAGAGGAGACACGATAGGAGGGAAAGAACAGAGTCCACATCCATGCACTCCAAGTCAGACCCACAGAGTGCAAGATCGAGCCTGCTTCCTGCTCACCCCCAGCGCTTACCGCTGCAGTGACAGGCACCGCTGGCATCAGCATCCCTGGCATCATTGGAGGTACCATTCCTGGTATCTACAGATATGAAGACCAGCAGCCAATATTAGAGTATGTAAGGGCTAGGCAGACCAGTCTGAGTTTGGTTCCCTGAGAGATCCCCTTGGAGGCTCTAACCCTCACCTGGGGCACACTCTCAAGCAATCTTCAGGTTCTGGACACTCACCATGCCTGAGAGCTCTTTTAATCATTCAGCAGATAAAGATAGGAGTCTGGCCCAAAGCTTCCTTTCCTCCCCAATTTCTAAAGCTCAGATGCTTGCTCCCTTCTCTTTCCCAGCAAAAGACCCCATGGGAAGAATGATTACCTGTGTGAGTGGTGGTGGTGCCCCCATTGGTGGAAGCATTGGGGGCAGTATGCCAGGTGGCATGGGGGGAATGGCTGGTGGTCTCTGACTCATAGGGGGCAGCCCCATTGGAGGAAAAGGAGGTGGGATCCCTGGAGGGGGCATCTGGAAATGAGGAAAGAAAAAGCCATTAGACAGAGGACACGGTCTTATTCTAGCAAAGACCACCTATCCCAGGCACTTCCCAGCCCTCATCCTGGTCCACAGCTGATTCCAAGGCTTTCATTTGAGAAGTAAAAAGCGTAAAACTGTCTCCTTCACTACAGAGGAAGACAGGTCACTGAGGAGCTCCTAGTCGTAATGGCAAGCACACAGCTTCCTAAGTGGGGGAGGGAGAGGAAAAGGGCAAGGGAACAGTACCAGACTGGGGAGGTTGTACTCCCCCCCACCCCACCCCCGAGACCTTCAGATGAAGGGAGAAGGCAGGGATCCCAGTCTCCTACCTCCTGACCCTTTCTAACTCACAACCGCCAATGCTATTCCAGCCTGAACTCAGAGGCTTTTGTAAAGAGCACAGGTAAGGAATAGTGAAAGAGAAAGAAGCCTCCCCAGCCTTCAGTCTACTGGAGATCTCTCCCTTCCATTTCTCCGATCTCCAGCCCCCTTGTATCCCAAGGACAAAACAAAAAGGGAGAACTGTCACTTTATGGACTAGAGCTTTAACAGCAGCTCTCCCCACCCCAGTGCTCAACACCACCCATCTTCCAAATACCAAAAGGGTGTGTTACAGGTCCTTGCTGGCAACACAGCAGTGGTAGGGTGGGGGCTGAGGGTGCAGGCTGGAAAAGCCAAGCCCAGGGAAACACATAAAACTTACGAAGGGTGGTGGCATCATGGGGTGCCCCGGTGGGAAGGGGGCAGGCGCTGCTGGGGGCCGGGGACCAGAATCGGGAACCGACTGTTGAGGGAGAGAAAAGTCATAGGACCCAGGATGGGCACAGAGATGGACTTGTAGAAGGGAAGCAGAGGGATAGGATGAATGAAAGAGAAACACAAGTTCAGGAGGGAGTTTCCAAGCCCCATTTCCTACCCATCCCGAGCCTGAGCCCTGCAGAGCTCTGCTCTCTAGTGCTAGCTCAGAAAGCCAGCTGACGGAGCCCTTCATGTCATCTTTATTTTGGGAGTTCCCATTTTGCCAAAGCCACAGCAGAGGCACAGCAGAGGCACAGAAGGCTCTACTACAGGCATCTGGCTCTTCTCATAACATCATCCCATCTTAAGCCCTTGTTCAATTTATTGAGTTAAAGATTCACTCCAAAGCTGTTGGTCATTAGCCAGGCGTTGGTGGCACATGCCTCTAATCCCAGCACTCAGGAGGCAGAGGCAGGTGGGTCTCTGTGAGTTTGAGACCAGCCTGGTCTAGTTCCAGGACAGCCTCCAAAGCCACAAAGAAACCCTGTCTCGAAAAAAAACAAAAAAACAAACAAACAAAAAAAAAGCTGTTGGTCCTTTACACCAAGCTTCCTTCTAGCCAGACTCATTCACTCATCCACCTGCTTCCACTTTTACTCCCAAACACCACCTGGACCATCCTCCCCCACCTCCGATGGTTACCCTCCTTTACAAACTCTGAACATGGTCACAGGCTTACACAGTTCAAGTATTCCTGCCTTCCCTCAACAGCTGACAACATGGCACTATTTAAAACAGCTTTCTCCAACTTCTTTTCCATCTGACCCCCTTCCTTAGTTTCCTCACGTACACAATTTTATTATGTCTGCCTGAGCATGCTTTGTCCTACTAGTGGGTGATGCCATTCCACAGAAGCAGGGACCATATGAGTTGCTGAAAACTAGATTCCTGGTACCTGCCACAGGGTCTGGCACATAATAGGTACATAACAAGTACTGAATGGATTTAAAACAAATGAAGCAAATTTCTATATAGAAATCTCCAATTCTAAAGTGTCATTCTCTCTCTCTCTCTCTCTATCTATCTATCTATCTATCTATCTATCTATATATATATCTCAAATCTTCATTTTTTTTTTTAGGGTTTGTTTATTTATCATGTATACAGTGCATGCCAGAAGAGGGCACCAGATCCCATTACAGATGGTTGTGAGCCACCATGTGGTTGCTGGGCATTGAATTCAGGACCTATGGAGGAGCGGTCGGTGCTCTTACCCCCTGAGCCATCTTTCCAGCCCTGGCCAAATCTTCGTTTTTTTGGTTTTTTTTTTTGTTTTTTTTTTTAAGAAGTTTTTTGTTTTTGTTTTGTTTTGTTTTTTTTTTTGTCTTTTTTTAAGATTTATTTATTTATTATGCAGTGTTCTGCCTGCATGTATGCCTGCAGGCCAGAGGAGGGCACCAGATCTCATTATATATGATTGTGAGCCACCATGTGGTTGTTAGGAATTGAACTCAGGACCTCTCTGGAAGAACAGCCAGTGCTCTTAACCTCTGAGCCATCTCTCCAGCCCCCAAGTCTTCATTTTTATAAACACAGACAAGAATAAGCTTAAATATCCATCAGTAAAGAGTCATCACACAAACATAAAATGGAACACTACACAGTCATAAATAAGAATGAGGAAATTCTGGGGCTGGAGAGATGGCTCAGCAGTTAAAAGCACTGGCTGTTCTTCCAGAGGACCCAGGTTTAATTCCCAGCATCCCCATAGTGGCTCACATCCATCTGTAATCCCAGTTCCATAAAATCTGACATCCTCAGGCACACATATGGAATATGTTATAAATGTAGGCAAAACACTCATACATGTAAACTGAAAACAAATAAATATTTGTGATTAAAAAAAGAATGAGGTTTCATTACTAAGATATGGAACAACGTCAAAATCTTAAGGTAAGTTGGGGGAGGCAAGATGCTGTGAAGCCTTATCACATATATAAATATCAATGATAAGAACAACAAAAGGGGCTGGAGAGATGGCTCAGCAGTTAAGAGCACTGACTGTTCTTCCAGAGGTCCTGAGTTCAATTCCCAGCAACCACATGGTGGCTCACAACCACCCTGAATGAGATCTAGTGCCCTCTGCTGGCATGCAGGCACAAGACTGTAAACATAATAAATAAATAAAATCTTTAAAAACAAAACAAACAAACAAAAAAAGAACAACAAAAGACAGACGGGAAAGAGGCTTTTCACAGTATGCCTTGTGACACAATATTGTGTCTTATAAATATGCTACTATATGTGTTCAAGAATAATTGGCACAGCCGGACGTTGGTGGTGCATGCCTTTAATCCCAGCACTCGGGAGCCAGAGGCAGGCAGGCAGAGAACTCTATGTGAGTTCGAGACTAGCCTGGTCTACAAGAGCTAGTTCCAGGACGGCCTCCAAAGCCACAGAGAAACCCTGTCTCAAAAAACCAAACAACAAAAAGAATAATTGGCGGTAGGGGCAGCTGGAGACACTGTTCAGGAGTTAAGAACCTTGCCTGCTCTTCCAGAGGACCTGGGTTCAGTTCCCAGCACCCACATAATGGTTCATTGCTATGTATAACTGCAGTTCCAGGGGATATGACACAGTCTTATGGCTTCCATGAGCACCAGGCACAACACACACGCAGGCAAACACTTAAATACACAAAATAAATCTTTTTTTTTTTAAAGCATTTTGGGGGCCAGAGAGATGGCTCAGTAGATAAGAGCACTTGCTGCATGAGTACCTGAGTTTGGATGCCAGAACACACACATGCATGCACACTTTGCATGGTTGTAACCTGTGCGGTGGAGTTCTGAGACAGGACAATCATTAGAACTTGCTGGCTGCTAGCCTAACTCAGTGAGAAGCCCTGTCTCTAGCAAATAAGGCAAGGAGGGATGGATAAAATGCCTGTCATCTTCCTCTGGCCTCAGTGCACAGACAGACACATTTTTTTGTTTTGTTTTGTTGTTTGTTTCTGAGACAGGGTCTCACTATGTAGCCCTTGCTACCCTGGAACTCACTCTGTAGACCAGACTAGCTTAGAATTCAAGAGATTCTCCTACCTCTGCTCTGGGTGCTGGGAATAGAGGTGTACCCACACCCAGCTCACACTTTTTAAAAGGTAGAGATAGAGCTAAAAGGCTGTGCTTCTTCCTAGCTGGAAGCTGAGGAGCAGCATGCGAGTTCTGAGGAGAGGTGGTATCCTGGAGGAACAGGAGTCACCTCACAACTGTTTCTCAGTTACCCCTATCCTGAGGCGGCCTGGACAGTTAAAAATGCTTTCTAGCTGGGTGTTGGTGGCTCACACCATTAACCCCAGCACTTGGGAGGCAGACGCAGGTGGATCTCTGTGAATTTGAGGCCAGCCTGGTTTACAGAGCAAGTTCCAGGACAACCTCCAAAGCAATACAGAGAAACCCTGTCTCAAACAAAAACAAAACAAAACAAAACAAAAAATGCTTTCTAACCTTTATCTCTAGAAAGTATGTCTTTTACCTTGTCTTGAGTAGTATGTGCCAAGCTACTGCAATTGACCCCTATTCTCTATCTCCAACTAAGGGCACTCTTCCTGTGCTCTGGATATTATATCTATATGGAATGTCAGAAACCACTTGCCATGGAAGAAACCAAATGTTTTGTTCTACTCTTCCATCCTGAGCTGCTTTAACCTACCAAGTAATCAACACTGAGTCTCATCAGACCCAGCACCATGTTATCCAGTCCTGTCTAAGACAGAGACCTGGAAGTTACTCTATAATGTCCTTGATAATACAACCTGAGTTCTCTTAGTTTTTTTTTTTTTTTCTCTCCATCTAAGTATTTCTTTCCATTTTTTTTTCCCAACACACTTTTCCCATCTGATCTACTATTTGACCTCCCAAACAGTTTTCCTCATATCCACTTCTATCTGTATCCACAACACACTCTTCCAAATGTACCTGCTTAGAATTCTACAGCCATTTCCTACTGTTCTGAGAATGACCACCAAAGCCCAACTAGTCAGGTCTGTGAGGCTGCCTATCACCTTGGCAGCCTCTTCCATACCCATCTTCTGTGCTTCAGCCATTCTCAGGCTTTCTCCCACCTCAGGCATCCAGCTGTACACAGAGCACCTCTCCTATGTTCTATACATACTTCACAGCCAAAACATTTCCCATGAAAGCCTTTGCCAACCACTGTACTAGCCCAATTCTAAATGTACTGTCTCATGTAGCACTAAGACATACACTCTATTAAACATGGATACTCACATGTTAGATTTAATGAACTATAACATTTAGTGCAACTCCACTAAAATGAAAACTCTTAAGTGCAGGGGTAAACTCAGCATAGTGGCTCAACACTGTCATCCTAGCACTTGGAGATATAGAGAGGAGGATCTGGAGTTTGAGGCCAGTGTGGACTATGTGGTGAGTACCAGGCCACCCTGGGCTGCTGAGACTCTGCCTCAAAAAATTCTTAATAAATGATTTGGTGAGATGGCTTAAGTGGATTAAGGCACTTGCCTTCCAGCCTGAGGACCTGGATCTGGTCCCTGGGACCCACATGGTGGTAACAGACAACTGACTTCCACAACTTTTCTTCTGACCTCCACACATATAATGTAGTACACGTGCATTCATCCAAAATGAGCAATAGAAATTATAGAAAAAAAGTGAAGGTGGGGCAGTCGTAGGCTGGAATGGATACTTGTTTCTTGACTTGACTGGTCTTGGTAAGTTCCACCAAACTTGAGGGCCACTGGTAAGGCCTACTATCAAGAAAACACAATTTAGAGCTGGAGGAAACCATGAAAATCACCCCAAATACATCCCTCAATCTTTTTGAGATAGGGTATCATTTTATAACAAGTGTAACCTGGAACTCACAGTATATTCCAATCTAACTCTAGCTTTCAAATTTCAGCAAAACACTTTATAATAAGGGTGGCCTAAGCTGGGCATTGGTGGTGCACGCCTTTAATCCCAGCACTCGGGAGGCAGAGGCAGGCAGATCTCTGTGAGTTCG